AAAATATTGATAAAGTCTCATTCTATGCATACTTGAAGAGCATGGAAATTCTCCATAAAAATTCCTCAATCATCAAGAATCACATAATCCCAGAGAACGCAAGTACAGTGAATTAAGAGTGTCACATTATTATTACCTGACATTAGCTGATAAACAGAAATGTCTACCCACCACTGACAGGCTTACTCTTGAATTGTTCATTATCTCCAAGAAGTCATTTCTCACAAAGTTCAAGACCTCCTTTCTAAACAATCTATACAATAACAATCATAGGACCTATAACCTAAATCTGTAAGTCGTAGCTAAAGATAAATCTTCTATGTTCCAATCTCCACATAAATAGGAACCATTTTCCAATAGTAAATTAGTCCTTAGGCCCATAGACATTTTAGATCATATATAGAAATGTTTACATAAACTCAAATTATTCATTTGATCAAATCTCTCTGTTATCTAGGCATTTCACTACAACACGCCAAACGTTTTCACAGGTCTGAGCAGATCATAGATTATGGCCTTGTGACAGCAGTTAGAAAAAAGTAATAATAATGCCTTTTGGAATTTGAAAATGTTCTTCTACCCCTGCCACTTCCCTTGCTTACCACACTCAACCCAGTCTTTATTTAAGCCAATTTTGATTTACTGGGATTTGTTTTTTGGCCTATCATGCACTCAGAAAAAATGACCAAAGTCCCTGAGGTTCTCTTCTGCCAAGAACAATTCATCGAGATTAGCTTGTAATTTGAAAGCCCTAGGTCGACCTAGAATCTTGAAGATGGAACTGCTAACTCCATTGCCCAAGTTCACTTTTTTTTTTATCAGCTCTAATGCTTCCAATTCCAAAAATCACAAAAGTTAAAGAATGTGACAAGCATGTTTCCTGTTCCTGCTTAAGCAACTCTACCTTGCTCTAAAATTAAATTCTAACGGAAATCTCTGAGAACAACTGTAAATCTTTGGTTATGGGCAAATGAAAAATTATTGCAATCATCATTTATATGTGGTATACAGAGAAAACAAAGGGGAGAATTAATAAGACAAAAATAACTTTTAGACTATAAGACCAATTAGTGGTTTCCAGAAGGGGAGGGGAAGGAAGGTGGGTAAATCATGTAAAGGAGGACTTTTAGTGGTGAACTTAATGTAGCATATACACATGCTGATTTTTAATGATGCACACCTGAAACCTATATATTATAATACAATGTTACTTCAATTTAAAAAATTACTGCAATCAATTAGGGAATTAACCTACTTTTCCTTTTTTGGTCCCTGAGAGAATCTCAATACAAAGATTCTTCTTTCCTGAATAATAAAGATTAAATTTTTTTTAAACATGAATCTAAAACCTGTGTGTATGTGTGCATGTGTGTGTGTGTGTGTGTGTGTGTGTGTGTGAGAGAGAGAGAGAGAGAGAGAGAGAGAGACTGGGCAGCAGAATTATCTGAGCAAGGTATAAATTTATGACATTCTTCAAAAGAACTTTTATTAAATTTTTTATGGGCATAAACAAATGGTAGCAGGTCTATGAGTCTAGCTCAATATGCAGTCGATTCCCAAATTTTTTTTGTTAGTAATTTTAAAAGCACCATTTTTGATATTTTAAAAAGGTTTCACTCATGTAGTCATACACTATAGGTTCTAATTTGTAAATCTGTGAATTTTTCCAGAGTTTATTAATATCCTATCCTCAATGTAATTTAGAAAAGAAAGTGTGAACAGAAAAATTAAGGAAAACAAGGAAGAAAAGAGTGGGTGGGGCACAGGAAGAAAGACAGGCAGTGTTTCCCCAGGAAGGCCCAGGGAATCCATACAATGGGGAAGAGATAATGTGACCCAACTCCACTGGGCAGTTTTGTTTGAAAACCTATTGTGAAATTTCTCTCAGAAGCTTCAGTGAGTTTCATTAAAGAAAAAAAAAAAAATCCGATGCTCTTTGCAAATATCTTATCATGTGTACTTAATGTAGGGTGGGGTTTTGTAGGAGTTGATTAGCAAGTTTTTCAGGAATAAGCATCAAGGATCCATGAACCCCTTGAACAAAAATGAAAGCATTTTTGTGCCTACCATATGTGCATTTATTTTCATGGAGAAAGGGTCAGTAGCTTTCATTAGAGTCACAAAAAGTATTCAAAGATCCATAAGTCCCCAAAGTAGGCTTTTTTTTTAGCCTATTAGATGCCATTTTCTTTTCTCTGAAACAAAGGCATTGTGCATGTGTGTGCATCCTGACAGAAAGGCTTAATGTTACCACATATTGGCACATTTGATTTGTGTAAAGCATGCTACTCACACAAAGCATGATTTTCTACCACCTATAACTAAAATATTAAAATGTGCTTTTAGTTTAGGCTATAAATACTTTTATTATCTATGGAAATAATTTCCATATATTATCGCTGAAGGAATTGGGAGACAATTTGGGACCAAAAATATACTAGGTATACTCAATATTTATGAAAAAGTAAATATTTTAATACACTGCTGCATCTCATTTTTAGCAATGGAATATATATATACACATATATATTCATATTCATATATATGTGAATCAATGTGTTTTGATCATTTTAATTATTAACAGCTTTATTCCAAATATAGGAAATTTGATCATCTAAAATACTTCTGTATTTTTAGAGGTTATAGCAATTTGAACATTTGACAAATACTTTGGCAGGAAATCAACAAACACTTTACTGCTCTCAAATTGTCCTATAAAAATTGATCCTTTTCCTCTATATATCCTTTCAAAGAGAAGAGATTTTTAGCCCTCTTGACAATTGTCTGATAGAATCTAGATCACTAGGACATTCTAGAAGAGCTAATCTAGACCTTTTCCTCCCATGAAAACACTGAGTGGATCACAGTTTGTCTGAGTTGAGTAAAGATCCCACTGACAGAAGCAGTGCTCAATCAAAATTTAGCAAAGGCCTTCCTTAGGAGAACCCTAGAATGAGTCTAAATCTGACATCTGGTATAAAACAGTGGGTAGAACATGGTGTTCCTTGAGCAACACAATATGGTAGCAGGTGCTAAAACAAAGCAACAGGAAAAGTTAAATTATGTAGTACAATGGAAAATACCTGATAAATTAACTTTAAACATTGGAAAAGAGACTCCCAAGACTTTCAAAACACAGATCTAGAAAGGGGTGGGTATTTTCATGTCAGCAAATTATTCTCCTAAAGAAGAGTATTGTAATAACATTTCAAGTTAGCCCTTAATCTTCAAAGTGCCTTTCAACAGGAACTTTCTTAATCCTCATAATCTATAGCAAAGGGTGTCTATGAAACAGACACCCAAACAAAGCTTTAAAAGCGACATTTTTTTTGTTTGAGTCCTTAAGGGTCTCTGGATCAAAGGGAAGGAGCAAGACCTTTCACTCCCTTTCCTGGGTTTCAAGGAGAAATTCTGAAAACCTCCTCATACTCAGATAATGTTGATTTCTCTAATTCCCTCTGAGAAAAAAAAAAAAAAATCTTGGCTACTTGCCTTGATCAGCCATAATCATTTTCTTATGTTTTTTAAAATGTACTCTTGGAAAAAAAAATAAAAGAAAATAAAAAGAAAAAGAAAAAAAATAAAATGTACTCTTGAAAGAGCATCCATTTTTGTGTAACTGGCATATTGGACCATTCCTATAAGATGAAATCAAACCACGACAAACAATGATGTAGAATAGATAAGGCCCTGGGTTACTGATGTTCTTATACTTTAAAAGTAAAACATAACATATAAGTCTAATAAAGTCATTTAGTAATGGAACAAGAAACCAGAAATGAAAGGATTACTTCTCACAGGGAAGCAGCTTTTTCATATAAGATAAAACAAAAGCAGAAGGGGGATGAGGGCAAGTTGAGATGACTAAGAGCTTTTTTAAGTTCATATTTACAGGAATGATACAGAATTTTGATAGATTTCTCCCTTAAGATAACATCTTTGTGTACCCTACACCACCACTTCCTGTTAACGGTATTATAGCTCAAATCCCCAACTAGTCTGAGAAGGCAGAGAAAAAAAGTGTGCTATCAGACTGAGCAAAAGGAGATTTTTCAATGACCAAAGAAGTTATTGAGATATCACTTAAAAGTGAATTTAATTTCTTTACTACATCGCTGTTAATATTTCCCTTGAATATGTTCATTGAATTATACCTAAGTCTGGTGGCAGGACAACTTTTATTTGACAACAGCAGTAGTTTATGACTCGGTATATAACTAGTTTAAATATTTTAGTAAAGGTCAGTGAAACCCTCATTCAGTAGAATTTGACCCATGTTTACTGACCACCCAACACATGGCTGAACCCTGGCTTGGTCATGAGACACAATAATGGCAGACGGCAGATGCCTGGTCTCCTGGGTGCTCTACTACAACTGCTAGGCTGTTAAGAATCAAGTCAGCTGATCACAGGCCCAGAATTTAAGCAGTGGTTGATTGCAACAAGTTAAAGTATGATGCAGGCTAACTTTGATAGTCTTTAAAGAAAAGAGCCACTTAGTCGTCATCTTAGCACTGCCACAGCCCCAAGGGAGGTAGCTTGTTTTCATTTCCCACTTTTCAAATAGGAAACCACCCTGGCTGCATGTAAGACTTGCTTGAGCTCACATTTAGCTTCCAATCTTTTGACTGTTGGCCTAGTGCTTCACCTACTAACCACCTCCCTACTTTCCCTCTTCTCCCTGCACCTTCCCATGTGAAATGTGGTAGCCTGACCCAGCACCTTAGAATTTCCAGGAAAGGCAAAGTCAAACAGACGCTCTGGGGTGGGGTAGGGGGCGGGGAACATTCTGCTAAGGGTTTTCTGTAAATTTTCGCTCAGTATTTTATCCCTTCATATGTTGTTACCTCCCCTGTGCTCAGTAATTTTAGTTTGTGCTTTTTGTTTCTCTTTTTCTTTCTTTGGTTTGCTGGCCTTGTGTTGTTGGTTTGTTTTGTTTTTTTTGTTTTTGGTTTTTTTTTTTTTCCATTTGGTTTTTTTGTTTTCCCTTTTTAATGCAGGAATTGGTCAAGGCGTTCCGGTGGTGGCACTCATTGTGGAAGGAGGACCCAATGTGATCTCAATTGTCTTGGAGTACCTTCGAGACACCCCTCCTGTGCCAGTGGTTGTCTGTGATGGGAGTGGACGGGCATCCGACATCCTGGCATTTGGGCATAAATATTCAGAAGAAGGCGGGTAGGTAACATGTAAGGCCCCCATGGTAGACTTAAAGGTCAAAGTCTGTGTCCCGCACTTAGGAGGAAGGTACTAGCTGATTGAGACCTTTGACCTGGGAGGGTGGTGGTGAAGAGCCGGGGAAGGTGTTCTAAATGTTCTATGAAGTTGGAAATTCCAGAAAAACTGCACTAGACCAGACTGCTTACAAAGAGGCTGAGGGAAAGAGAAAGTTTTTAGGATGTGGTCTTCCTTGTTTCTCTTCCTTTCACTCCTCTCTATAAAGAGCAGTAGAAATTCGGTTTTAAACACAAGAAGTACAGCGAATCTGGACCATATAGTACAGGTTAGTAACTTGGGAGAAACTGGTGTGTAGCTTCTAGCTTGGCCTCTAAATACCAGCATCACCAAGTTCTGTGTGTTTACAAATCCTGAATGTTCACAAAAACACTGGGGAGGCTGTGCTATCAGAACCCTCTAGATTAACTTGGAAAATAGAATCTCTGTAATGGTGACACTCTAACCCATATAAAACTCCTCTTTAAGTGCTCTCAGCACTGTCCCTGTTCATGCAGACCCTGGAGGCTGCTTTCTACAATCCAAAGCCAGATCCTTGTGGGTCTGCCCCTCATAACCTTTCTTCCCTTCTGAGCTCCCGCTGGGTGAATGGTGACATGCAAACACTCTTGAGGATTCTTACATCAAAGTAATTCATCCCAAGGTGTGAATGAGCTTAAGGAGGAAAACTGAGAACCACTGAAGCTTTAAAAAAATCATTTCTTGGGCCTCCCTTGATTTTAAATGATTTTAAAAAAATCATTTCTTGGGCAAGGGGTTGAGCACAGCACTGTGAAGCTAGCCGCAGCCTCTGCAAGCACTAGTTCGATCCCTGGCCAGGGAGATACCCACATGGTGCAGCAGACCTCTTCTGTCTCACCTGCTGCTCCCCTCAGCAGTGTATTTTGTCAGTCTGCCTGTTTTGCTCCCCACTCTGTCTCTGTCTCTGAGAATCCTCTCACCCCTCCACACCTCTGGCCTGTGCCCCAGTTTTTGTATGCATAAATAAATAATAACTTTTTAAAAAAAAACTCAGGTTCTCTAAAAATAAATAAATAAATAAATCATTTCTTGCCCTAATCAATTTGAATACATGAAACAAGTGGGAGAAAGAAGCCCCAAGGGCAATTGGGCCTTTTATTCAACCTAGGTGTCTACTGGGTACCATGCACTGAGATATACAAAAGGAATAATGTACTCCTTCTGTCCTCAAAGAGTTCACAATAAATTCAGTACGTAGACAAGTAAAAATGACCAGTGAGGTTGCCTCTCTCTTATTCAGCCCGATTTGGAATAGAAACTCAGCATGGTATCCTCTCTCTAGCCCACCCCCTGTCTTTGCCAGCTAAGGCCTCCCCTCAGGTGAGCCATTAAAACAGCATCCTTCCCTGGCTGGTGCATAAACCTAAATGTGTGAAAGCAGGAGTAGCTAAAGGCACCCAGCTTTTGGGTTGGACTTATAAATACTGAGTGATTTTAGGCCCCTTACAGCTCTTGATTTATTTAAAAAACAAATCAGAAAGAAAGAGGTACATTTTCTAAGTATCAAGTTAGAGTGTGCTTCCTGGAAATTTTACTTACTTTTTAATCTTCGTCATTGATAGTAAATATTGACCCATTTTTAACTAAGGAAAAAGAACATTTGCCCAACTCCCTCCATCCATGTCCATTATTGAAATATAGCAAATTTTTTGTTTTTTTTTTTTCCTTTGGTTTTCAGAAATAAAGAACTTATACAGTTTAGTTTGGGCTTATTTTTGCCTTCCTAGTACTTGCAACTACGTCTTTGTATTTCTGCAAAGTAGATATAAATTAGCATTCAGAATGCACATTTTCTTTTCAGAAAATGAATGCAAAAGTCAGCTACCAACTCATCATGCCAGGTGTCCAGGTACATATGCAACAAAAGTCTGGACATAGTGTCTGTTTTGTCATTCTCTTAAAAGTGTGTGTGCCTTGCAAATGTTAAAATCTTTGATAAGTTGCCCTTCCTGATTCTGCTTTAATATAGGAGAAATGTTACACATTTTAGTACCGTGTGACAGACTATACTGTTTAACACAGGTAACAGGTACACAGAGAAATTCAGTGCTTTCTCAAGGCCATGCAGCCCACGATCTCCATTCAGGATTATCTCTGGTGTGTTATAAAAATTCCCTGAAATGTATTTTTGTATGTGCCTTAGTGTTTTTTCATATAGCATTTCAATGATACTGTTTTATTTTTATTTTTTTTAAATAATAAATTTTATTTTTATATTCAATGATACTGTTTTATAACTGTGCAAGGACATTTAGGTTGACTTCAGCTCCTTCTTTGCATTCTGATTTCTTAAAATTTATTATTATTTTGTGTATTCCAAAAAGACAAATTCAATGTGTTCCTGGTTGTAACCCAATATCCAAATTGTTAAACCCTACATCATGTGAACTCTTTTCCTTCCCCACCCAGACCATTACATTCCAACCCCAAAGCTGAGTCAGAAATATTACAATCTTGTAACTTTAATTGGCAGTTGTTTTAAAATTAAAGTTGAGTTCAGTTTTAACTATCCTATGGTCAAAATATGCAAAAGCACAACCTATATGGAATCCATACAAACATATGAATCATGGCTGATTATTCAGGAATATGAGATCATATGAGTGCACAGATCAAGAATTAAGATATAAATTGGAAATTATTAAAAGTAAAGCCTAAAAAGTTTTAAGGAATATTTATAAATGTTTATTAAGAGAAGCTTTATATTTGCCATTCCAAATATGTTTACATAATATTAGGATAAAAGTCTGATCTTGCTCCAGGAAAGCAATTCTAAATATGTCACAATCACATGAATTCAGAATGTTTCTGTGTACCCTCTGAATAACAGCCAGAATTAATCATGGTTATTTGACTAAGCTTGATAAGAAATTGTCAAGTCATACAGTCAACTTAAAAAAATCATTTCCAAAGAAAATTCTGTTATAGTAATGTGATTTCTTTATGCCAAAAATTAAAATGTACTGGCCCAACTAAGACTATTCACCAAGAAGAATTATTTCTTTGACTTTCAGCAAAGTCCAGCACAGTAGGGATAGATTCATTACCTATAAATAAGTGTATAACTGTATGTCCATATAAACCACCTATATAAATATATGCATTTGATTATTCATATAAAATTGAATATAGAAAACATCTATACCCTGTTTATGAATCCTGAATCAGGATTTGAAATCATTTTTACTTTTCAGTTACTTTTGTAATTTAAATATATTTTTTTAATATTTTAAGTTCATTTATAAATTATAATACAGGTCCAAAAACTATAATGTATGGCTATGAAGTCTTCAATTTTATAACCTGAAAAGAGTAAAATGTACACCCCTTCTGTCTTAACCTTTGTGAACTTGGTATTTTGTCTTTAAAACTCCCTGTTTGGACCTCCCTGGTGGCTCATGGGGTAAAGCATAGCACTGTGAAGCTATCCGCAGCCTCTGCCACTCTAGTTTGATAGCTACCCACATAGCGCAGCAGACCTCTCCTGTCTCGCCCACTGCTCCCCTCAGCAGTGTATTTCAGTCAATCTACCTGTTCTGCTCTCCACTGTCTCTGGTGAATCCTCTCACCCCCCACACCTCTGACCTGTACCCCAGTTCCTGTATGCAGAAAATCTTTAAAAAATAAAAATAAATAAATTCCCTGTTATTTGCCACCTTCCAAGAACATGAATGTGAAGGGGAATCATTTTGGAAGCAAATTAGAATTGATAAAATAGATTAATTTTATAGATAAGATTACTCAAGGTAGAAAAGACAAATATCAGAACACAAATAAACTAGGAGAGAAGAGCAATTCAATTCATATTTTTCTCTTTTTCTCCTTATCTCTGCACTGAGGCATATATTACCTGAAAAGTCAAACTCTACTTTTTCTTTTTTTCTATATCTCATCTGTCATAGTTCAAAATGAGTCACAATTCACGTTCCCTAGCTATTCTCATCACTTTAGAAATATTATCAAATTTCATTTCTGAATTATAAGTGACTGAACACTACAAACATAAATAGATTAATGCTACTCAAGTAGCATTAGACTCAACTGCATATGCTTTTAAAAACTGGGGTTCCACTTTTAGCCGCATGTGACTAAACATGATCAGTTGACCCATCGTCAGGAGCCCCTTGCTGGCTGTAGGTGCCTGAAGGTGAAGTCAGAGATAACTTTGCTGGTACTTATCAGACTGCAGTGTACTGTGACTTAGCTCTTCCTTTATCCATCACTGACCAAGTACCTCACAGAGGAAAGTGTCACTGAGAAAAAGTACCAAAACCAGTGCATGTTCTGAGATGAGGTCCCTCAGTCATCCAAATTTTTCCTAGCAGTGCTTATTTTACTGTCTTTTTCCAAAAAATAATCATCTAATTTCAGCATTTTTAGATACCCTAGAACAAGAAACAGAACTGTGGTAGTGGAACGCTTTAAAGCTTTTAAGTTGTCTGTTCACAACTTTGGGATGTAATCTCTGGAACAAATTCCAAAAAAAAAACCTGTTCATGTTTTGTGTACCAGTAGAACTCGTATTAGATTGTGAAGAGTAAATGAGCATGTCTTGCTTTTGAGGGCATAGTATAGATAATTGTATTGCAAATAAAAATCTGATTTTCCTATTAAAGAAAGTTTAAGAAGGGTCCCTATGTTTTTGGATTAACTGAGGTGAAGGCAATAATGGAACACAAAGTGAATATGAGAAAAAGAATAATATGTTACATGGCTTCAGATTATATAACTAAATTCTAGCAGAGATGTGACAAAATTTGTTTCTCTCCAAATACATATATAAATGACCAAAGATGGAGGTGGGGAGGAAATCAATTATTTCAAAACCCAGGTTTGGCCTGTATTCCCTCAGGCATATCATTCTGTGTGGTGTTCACTCATGTTCTCTTCTGCTCAAGAGATTTCCTTCCAAAGTTAAAGGT